GAGAGACAGCGAGAGAGGGAACACAAGCAGGGGGAGTGGGAGAGGGAGAAGCAGGCTTCCCGCGGAGCAGGGAGCCCGATGCGGGGCTCGATCCCAGAACCCTGAGATCATGACCTGAGCCGAAGGCAGACGCTTAACGACTGAGCCACCCAGGTGCCCCGGAACTGTAAATATTTTAACTGACACAGAATAGATTGTGTTCTTATAACTGAAATTAATGTACATTTTTGCTTACTTGGGAAGATATAGTTGAATTATTTTATAAAATAATCACTTTAATACCTCTGACATAAATCTAATTTTGAATATTTTTTGGATTTACATTAAGCACAGAACTGTCAGTGTAAATTAAGAATGGGATTGCCAGAATCAGAGAAAACAATAGAAAGCGGAAACTTTAATATGACATTAAACTTTTGATACTTTGGTTACTCACCCCCATAGAATAAGGTAGGATAATATGCACAAAGTCTGATGTAGAGAACCACCATTTTTCAGCATAACCAACTATACTTCATTATAGTCTTAACCATTTTACTGTGACTCTTCTCCCCTATGGGAGTAGTTAATATTTTAAAACATAGCAATGAAGGTATTGCTGGCATAGATAGGGGTCATCCTGAAGGAAAAAAGGTAGTTCAGGGAGGGTAACATTAACCATTATATATGTGTCGACAGCTTCTTTGACCACCTTCCCTAAAAGTGGATTCACCAACACTGCAGGATAAACTGAACTGACTTTAACAATATTAGAGATTAGTAAGGTCTGGGTAGGAAAATATGAGTTTCTAAAGGTGATAAAAAGAGTGTTCCTTGAGGGCGCCTGGGTGGCTCAGATGGTTAAGCGTCTGCCTTCGGCTCAGGTCATGATCTCAGGGTCCTGGGATCGAGTCCCACACCGGGTTCCCTGCTCAGTGCAGAGCCTGCTTCTCCCTCTTCCTCTGCCGCTTCCTCTGCTTGTGCTTTTCTGTCTATCTCTCTGTCAAATAAATAAATAGAATCTTTAAAAAAAAAAAAAAAAAAAGTGTTCCTTGAGAGGAAGTTGTAATTTCAATACAAGGAGTAGAATTTTCTCAACATTATTAGGAAGAGGAATTTTAGCATGTAATGGTAACATATAATAATATAATTTTGAATGGAATTCCAAGTAGTTTTGGTCTTTCATGTTATCAGAATGCAGTGGAAACCGATATGTAATGCATGCATGAGGGTTGAATGCTTCACAGAAATCTCCATTATCGGTAATTACGATAATTACAACTGATAACTTTTTAACAAGAGTGGTCCTATTTTGTCAAGCTACCATTTCTTACCAAGTGGTATTCATATTCAGTCTCAATATATTACAACTGGTTTGTAATTAGCATGATGCATACTTTAGAATTGTGTCAGATTATATTTTCAAATGACTGCTATAAGAATATCTGCCATCCAACCTGTTCTTTTACCTTGCCACTAACTCACCAAAAGATGAAGTCTATTTCTTTACTCCCTTGAATCTGTTTGGACCCTACGACTACGTTGATCAACAGGATAATGTTGTGTGACTTCTGAAGATAGGTCATAAGAGGTCAAATCCTTTTATCTTCTCTCTGGGCCTCTTGGAATGTTCACTGTTGGGAAATTCCCTCTTGGAACATACTCTCCATGCTAATGAGAAGAAGCCTAAGCCATACAGAGAGGCCATCTGTGGACACTCTCACTGACAACCCCATGTGAGCTCTGAGATGATAGCCAGCTCCTCTACTAGTAATATGACTGAGCCTTCTTGGATATTGTCCAGGCTTGCAATGACTGTAGCCCTGACCACCATCTGTCTGCATATGTATAAAAGAAACTCAAATGAGAGCTACACAGAACTACCCAATCAACCCAGAAAACTATGAGAGATGATAATAATAAATCGGTTTACGTTAATAAATTTTGAGATGGCTTATTAGTCACAACAGATAGCTAAAATAGATGGTCAGAATAATTTGAAAAGTAGTCCAGGCAGAATCCATAACTGACTCACCCTTTCAGATGCTACCTTCCTCCACTCCCCAAACATGGCATCGTCATTAAAGAATTGTGGTAAACATTTTCATATAATTTCTGGTTTATTATTATTATTTTTAAAGATTTTATTTATTTATTTGAGATAGAGCAAGCATGAATGGGGTGAGAGGCAGAGGGAGAAGCAGACTCCCCACTGAGCAGGGAGCCCGATGTGGGGCTCTATCCCAGGACTCCAGGATCATGACCTGAACCAAAGGCAGATGCTTAACCGACTTAGCCATCCAGACGTGCCCCCCCATTATGTTTTAATTACCTCTTTCAATATCACTGGAATTAATGACAATTTCTGATTTTCCAATGCAAGGAACCAACTCTGTGAAGTACTGTATCCTTTCCTAATTGTCTATTTTCTACTGTTGCAGTGATACCCAAGGGTAAGGAAATCTTGGTCTTCCCAGCAATGTGACAGTGCTGCTTTATTTTGTTGTACTCCTAGCTTAGATTAGGAAAAACAAAACTCCCATGAGGCACTTGGGGAGAGGCGTGCAGTGGACAATCTAGGGAACACTTCTCAAAGGTTAGCCTGGCTTCTCTCTCCCTGTCCTGAAACTAGGAGACACAGAAATTAACTTTTTTCCTCTGTAGATTTCCCAAAGCACATTTGGTAGCCATTTTGCAGTGGGAAGGTTAAATATGCAAAGTCTTTTAACAGCACAAAAAGTTTAGAGTTCCTTGTAAAGCAGCTATGTGGATAGCCTACCCCACTCTACTAGAAGTCCTTTTAATGTGGCATGATTGTAAATGAGAAAAATGAAATGAAATAATGCAAGTGACTTTTTGATATCACAACATGAGAATGCTTCACTTGTAGTAATGTCTCTGAACAAACTGAGAAAAAAATGTTTAACTGAATTATTTGTTAAAATCAAAAGCTTTTTTTATACTTGTATTTTTTAATGGATGGTCAATAGCAATTAATGTGAAATACTCACTAATAACATGGTCAAGGTCCATCAAGTTACAAAAACTATTTAGAATTCAAGATTATTTTGTGATATCCAAGGAATCAATTAATAGAGAATGTGCAGAGAAATGGTATTCCAACAAGGTAGGTCTTGCATTGACACCTACATTCTTTCTACTAAATTATAGAACTCTGGGTGATTGTTTCATTTTAAAATAATGACCTAGTTAAATAAAGGGTCTTTGCAGATAGCTTAAAATGTCATTAAAATAGTGCTTCATGGAATTTTAAGGTTGGATAGCTATATGACTGGTTGGATTTTTTTTTTTTTCTTGTCATGAAGATGGTAAAAAGTCTCAACTAGCTAAAGACTACAAGTAATTGGCATTTTTGAAATAGTAGGATTAAATTAAAATATATGTAATACATGTTTCTTAATTTCATCTTAAAAAAACTACTATGTATTAATTTATACTCACTTTTGGTTCTAGAAAGTATTTTTCAAACTTTCATCTGTGGCAGTTCTGAAGATCCTATTTATACTTTTGTGAAGCTATCTGTCTTTGTAATTATTGCTGTCAAATGCTGTATTCCTTCTTTCACCTGAGGAAAGCACCTTAATGGACCACTAAAACTATTTCCTGAAATCTAGAAAGCGGAGTGAAGCACCACCAGTACAACATGAAAACAACAATAATAAAGACAATAGGCTAAGTATTGTTACTGTTGGTGAAAAAAAAGCGCCAACTTCATTAGAAGGGAAGGATGGTATTTATTAAAGTGAAAGGATTCCAACTTTTTTCCTTCTGCTTCAGGTGTTCAAATTATTTTGTTTTGTTCATATGGTTTGCTATATAAAGTGATTCATGGATTTAGTGGTCATTTGATTGACATACGTAAAAGATGATTCCATTATGCAAGCTAATTCTTCTTAGTAGAATATGTTTTTAAAAATCCATTCTATACTGCATTGTAAATGGCAATAAAATTGACAATAAAATTATGTGCATGTCAAATCTGGTCCCTTGTTGCTTGACAGGAACACACTAGCTGACAGAAGTATCAAAAGTCTTACTCAAAATCCCATTTTTCATGTTTAATTACTCATGAGGATGAAATTATGAGGCTATGTCTTATATGAATTTAATCTTCCCCTTTTTCTAAGGGTTTTATAATAAAATATAAAATTAAGGTGAATTGACTTATATCTGTCTTCAGAAGATATGTGGCATTAATGGAAATAATTACTCTGTTCCTTTCCAGAATGTCTGGATAAACTGTGAAATGAGTATAATTTGTCACAATGTTATTTTTTTTTCAGAAATGAGACAAAGAAGCACTATAATGCATTCGCTTTCCATTATGCCAATTCCTTCAGACATTTGCCACATTATGAGCTCCTACAGGGAAATCATTATCTCTCTTGTAAGAAAAAAAAAATGAGGCAAGTCACCATTTCATTACCTATATTTCAAAAAGTTAAATGATTTAAAATGTCTGTCCTGGGAGATCACTGTATTTGCTTGTCTGTGCTTCCACAAGCACTATTATCCTTAGCTATAATTCATTTTTGAAATGCCAAAATCAGGCAGAGTAATGTTTACCAGATTTAACCTTGTTCATTTTATTTTAATGGTTAAAATGAATCCATTCACTATGTGCAAAGGAGATGAAAGTGCCCATTCAGAAAAATAAAATAAGTAGGTCTCATCTAGAGATTCATGTGTACAATTAATATTTTTTATGCATACGAATTCTAATGGCTAAAATGTTATGTTTATCTATGATAAGCACTAAATAAATATACAAACAACAGAAATATATGTGCAGTGATGGCACGTTAAGCAAGGTCTGCTTGAACATGACAGCTAATTCGTCATGATCTAGTGGACTTTGGAGCAAAGCAAAACCACAGTTCCAACCTTGTGTCTGGCACTGTGACCATGAGTAACTTTTATTTTTATCCTCAGTGTCATGAATTCTATGCTCTGCTACCCAGATCTCTATTTTGGGACTGAAGTATTTTTGCCCAGCAGCTCAAGGGTTGTCCTGCAACTGATCTCTGGAAGTCCTTTCCTGGATTTATTTTCATCTGAAGAGAGCTGCCTTGCCCAAGTCCACACCCTTCTCCAGAGACAGACCACCAAAGAGGAAGGAGACAAAATGTCTGGTAGGTCCCTTTGGATTCTGAAACTCAGATATTTCATACCAGGTAGTAATAATATGGCCCACACCCTGGGTGATTAAATGCTGTCATGATTGGATAGAGTCCAGAGCATGGAAAGTCCAGGCTAAGGTACAAGTATCTCCTGGGTCAGATGTCTGAGTTATTAGATCTATCAATAGTGGGAAAGGATGCTGTGTGGCATTTCTGGGAAGACCCAATGGGAAAATCACAATACATTCCCAAGATTTTGGAGCAAGGCCATGCCATCTTCAGGAGAATATTACACACTGGCTAACAAAGGAAGAAGCCAAAACTTGGTTCACAGATGTGTTGGCTCAAGATAGTCCTGGTTGTGGATGGTCTTGAAAGACGGTGGAGAGGAGAAATCCTCTTAGTAAAGTTTTGGGTGGTGTATCAGTTGTCTTGTGTAGAAGTGTCCTTTGTTTAAAATATATAGCAACTCATGTGCAGTGGTGAGAAGCTAAAACATTTGATCAGGAACAAGATGGAATACTTGGGAAAAGTGGGTCGATGGATCTATGTGGACATAAGTTTGAATATTATTGTTATTGTGTGCTAATGCCCATCAGAGAACATCCAGTAAGGAAGCATTACTAAATTATGTAGACAGAATTACCTGGACAGATGATATGTGCCAGCCTGCCTTTAGCTACCCCAGTGTTGACATAGGAGCACATGATTGGAAAGCCCAGGTGGCAGCAATGGAGGCTACACATGGACCTGATAGAAGGGGCTCCTGCTCATCAAGCCTAACTTATCTACTGCTGCTGATGAATGTCCAGTATGCCAGCAAGAGGTTAACTACTAGGCTCCCAATAGAGAGCCATCCCTCAAGAAGAACCAGATACTTGGCACTGACTACAGTGCACCTCTTCCTCTCTGAGACAGCAATTTATATGCACAGGAATTGTCATATTCTGAACATGGGTTTACTTTCCCTGCCAGCAGGACTTTAGTCAGCACCATTATGCAAGGGCTTGAAAAATTCTTGATTCCAACAATCACAAACCCATATGACATAAGACCAAAGGACTGACTCTGTAACAGGAAAGTCAAGGGATGGATGTATGGTTCCTAACACATAGTGCACTATTCAGAAGCAGCTGACCTAATAGAGTGATAGAACAGCCTAATGAAGGTGTGGCTAATGCACAAGAGGCATCCTCCTCCAGGCTAAGGATACTCATTAAATTAGTGACCATAGTATGGTGCTCTGTCCTCCCAGGTAAAATACTTAAGTCTTGGAATCTAGACATAGATGTAGCTTCATATACCAACACTCCTGGTAATCCATTTAGTGATCTTGTGCTTTTTTTCTCTGTAACTCTGAGCTCTGTGGGTTTTAGAAGTTCTGATTCCCAAATAAGGAATGCTGCCACAGAGAAGGTCACAGCAAAGTCACTTGGGCATCCTTAGGACTCATTTGTCCAATTTTGATGGTAAATGGACAAATGAAGAAGCTGTAGCCTGAGAAAGCCGTAAGAACCCAAAATTTAGACTTCTCAGGGATGAAGATCCGGGTAACCTCACCCTGATAAGATGCCTAGACCAACTAAGGTTGTAGCCAAGGGTGAGAAGAATCTAGAATGAACAGTGGAGGAGGGAGATAATGAGTATCAATCACATCCTTGTAAACAGCTATAGCAACACAGGATTTTTTTTTATTATTATTCCATTAACCTTCCTCTCAGTTTCTCCCAGGAAAAGAAATCCAGCAGAATCCTGACGGTATAAATTATAGACCCTATAGAAGCAAGTGAATCCTAGCAATGCATGGGATGCTATTCTGTTACAAGTGGGTTCCTTTTAAAGCTAAAGTATTAAATTCCCTAACTCCTTAGAAGGTTGCCAACTGAGAGATATAAGCTGTCAGCTCTCTCCAAGAATAACCCTTAGCTGTAAAGAGCCTCTTTACCTGCTCAAAGTCATATCACTTCTTGCAAGGGTGGCCAACATCCAATGACTGGTCAATGCAATGACATAAGGACCCAAACCCTTTATGTCAACTCAGGACACCTCTGAATGGCTCTTCCAGCTATGGGAGTCTCCTGGTGTCAATGGAGGCTATTCTACTGTCTAACTCCTCTGCCTGCCCATCTACTTTTGTCCCTTCAGTACAATTATTGACCCTAAGAGCATTCCTTAATACAATTCCTGTGTGCTAATCCATGTTACAGAGTTGACTTCCTGCCAACCAATGACACTCAATTTACTAATCCATATATGTGGATGATCATGTCTATAGTTAGGTTTCAAAGACTGGATAAATTTATGGTTATAAAGGAACACAACCAACTCTTTTTTTTTTTTTTAAGATTTTATTTATTTATTCATGAGAGACAGAGAGAGAGACAGAGGCAGAGGGAGAAGCAGGCTCCCTGCAGAGCAGGGAGCCCGATGCGGGACTCGATCCCAGGACCCTGGGATCATGACCTGAGCTGAAGGCAGACACTTAACCGACTGAGCCACTCAGGCGTCCCACAACCAACTCTTAATAAAAATTATTTCCCCTCTCTGTTGTTTTGCTACTGAATACAACTAAACAAACACAGAAGTCATGTGAACAATTTCCTATGCTAACCATACCTTTTCCAAAAGTAGAAGAGTAGAAACATCATGGCACTATGGAATCACAGCTGTGGGCTCTGTTGGGGTCTCAGTCATGAAGTTACTTTTTAACAGATTTATTTGAGTTTGCCCAGCCAATTCAAACTATTTACTCCAATTCTTTCGTGATTTACCTTCTTTTCTTTTGTCCTGTTCTTTCTTACTAAGACTTTATTATTTTTATTTATATTTGTAGTCTGAATTACATGTTATACTTCTCCATATATATAAAGTAACATATTTTAAAAAATAATGACTTTTTTTTTTTTTCACAAAGCCACTCATGGGGTAAGAATATGAACACAAATCATAATATGAACTGGGTTTTTACTTGATTAAAATTGAGGTGTTGATATCTGAAACTATAAAAGGTAGGCTGGTTCACTTCGGTTTATTATCAGATTATTTTTATAGAATAAATAAATGCTTCTGAAGATATTTTAATGGCAAACTTATTATTTAAAAAAATTAGAAATATGAAATAAGGGTTACTTTATTTTGAATTCACCATGCACAGTTTTGATTGTATCCTCTCTGTGAAAGTAATCTGGTTCATTTGGAAATAAATTTTCTAAGAAATTTCCTGTGCACTTAAGAAAGTCAGTTCAAGCTAAAGGTCAGGATTTGGGATTTTCAGTCCAAATGTTCCTGACCTCACTTCCTCTAATATGCTAAAACCAAGACTGAGGTCAACAAGTAGTTTTTAAAAATAGCAAGAGAGATTCAATTTTCTACTTGGTAGATTAAATTTAAAAATACATCAAGTTGACGGAATAAGTCTATTTACGGAGAGGCCAGACTAATCAAATAAATCAAGAAGTTGTTGTCAGAAATTTATTTATTTATTTATTTATTTATTTTTTTAAAGATTTTATTTATTTGACAGAGAGAGACACAGTGAGAGAAGGATCACAAGCAGGGGGAGTGGGAGAGGGAGAAGCAGGCCTGTGGCTGAGCAGAGAGCCCGATGCGGGACTCGATCCCAGGACCCTGGGATCACGACCTGAGCCGAAGGCAGATGCTTAACGACTGAGCCACCCAGGTGCCCCTGTTGTCAGAAATTTAAAACAAACAAAAAAAATCCAAGACCACAAAAAAGGACAGAAGACCACATGATAATGTGGAAAAGAATATAGGATATTAAACATGGAAGTCTTGGCTTTAAGCTCTTGTCTGCTCTGTGCTATGTTAACTTTGTTCTTGATAAATCTTTTATGTCCTTAAGGCACCCTCATTAAAACCTAAAATTATGCTAATATGTCCACAAACTAACTCTGCTCATGAGCCAATCACCAAAAATTTCTTTACCTGTAAAATAAAAAAAAAAATTGAATGAATAATCTTTTAGTCCAATGTTTTAGAAATCCAGATATTTATCTTTCTTAATTTATAGGTTTGATTTAAAGATTAGATAAGTAATGAATGTAAAGTGATTTATAAATGATAAATACTATGCAAAGTTATTGATAAACATGTAAACTGTTTTTTTCCTACAAACAATTAAATATAATAGTAAACACACAGTAATCCAATTCTATACAAGATAACTGCTATATAAAATATCAATTGTAGTGTTCTTAAAAACCAACAATCCATGGTAATATAAAATGTTAAGTGCCACATAAGAAACAAAAATTTAAAAAGTTAAATAGATCATACCTATCGTATCTTTGCTATAAGAACAAAGGGAGCACTTGTTCACAGGATGTTGATTCCAGGCTGGAGGCTGATAGTACAAATAAGAGAAGAAACAATACAAAATGGAACAAAAAAAAACAAAATCCTGTACTTGGAGGGAATTTCACTTCAAAAAACTAAGCATCAGAGACTCTTCCCAGTAATTTCAATACTGAGAGTGGACTCACTTAAAATTTTGAAGCTTACTAGGTTCTAGCTCCTAGAAACTCATGAGGTTCTCTGTTTTGTTCACTGCTTTCTAAATAAATGAATCATTTAAAAAAAAAAAACCCACTTGAATGCTATTTTATAAGGTCAACTTTACCTCACGGAGACTGCCCTTGAAGATGGAGGATTTTTCCCCCTTTCTTCAACTCATATATATTCCTCAGAATATATATAACCCTTGCACAATGTGAAATTTTTAATAAGAATCCCAAACTTCTCAGTAATTATTTTAAAACTGGTATAGTTGGTTTCATTTATTTTCTAAAGAGTTATTATGAATCTTAGATTTGAGAAACCTCAACAAAACTGATTCACACTAACATTTTTTTCTCAAAAAAAGACTCCAAATGAAGAAAGTAGGAATTCCTATCAGCAATCATATGATTGCTTAAGACTTTCAGCTTCCCATAATTTTTTTTTTTTGGTATTGTTAATTACCATTCTCTTTTGATGGACTTTGCTTGCCTCCT